CAAATAATAATAATTAAATGGTTTCCCAATCCATTATTATTATTTGGGGGGGGATTTGGGGGCGGGGGGGTCTAAAATAATAATAATTAAATGGTTTCCCATTCCATTATTATATTTTGGGGGGGGGGGGGGGGTCTTTTGGAGGGGGGAGGGGAGGGGGGGGGGGGATCCAAATAATCACCCAATCCATTATTATTATTTGGGGGGGGGATTTGGGGGCACGGGGGTCTAAAATAATAATAATGAGCGGGGGGGGGGGTGGTCCATTATTATTATTATTATTATTATTATTATTATTATTATATTATTATTGTTATTGTTGTTACCACTATCACTACCCGAAGAGGGGGGGATCCAAATATTGATAATTAGATGGTTTCCCATTTCATTATTATTATTTGGGAGGGGGGAGGGGGTCCAAATAATAATAATAATAATTAAATGGTTTCCCATTCCATTATTATGATTTGGGGGGGGGTCCAAATAATAATAATTAAATAGTTTCCCTTTCCATTATTATTATTTGGGTGGGGGGGGGGGGGTCCAAATAATAATAATTAAATTGTTGCCCTTTCCATTATTATTATTTGGGGGGGGGGGGGAATAATAATAATGACATGGTTTCCCTTTCCATTATTATTATTTGAAATAATGCCAGGGGGTCTCCATTATTTCTTCGCGTGCCCCCTGCAACCCCAGGTTTCAACTCGCCAAGCTCCCACCAAAAGGTTTACCAGATACCAAAGCTAATTCTGAGCCCACTAGGCACGATTTCTGCATGAAAGATTACCTTGTGCTTCAGCCTCGGCTGCGGTGTCCTCTGCCGAAAGTCGGCCATCACCACCAGTGTCCAGCATGTCAAACAACTCCTGTACGAATTGTATCCCAAGGTTATTGGATTCTTAGAGTACTATATTCTAAAGTTCGAAGACTCTTGTCCCATACTGTCATAGTATCATACCGATATATTCTCAGACAGTCGAATCGTAGTATCGTATGCCATAGTTCCGTATTGTGCAGTATATCATATCTCATGCCTGCACGAGTCACGAAGGTCTGCAGGACCCGGGTAGGGGATCAAGAAATAATTTATAGGCGGGTCAAAAAAACTATTTGGGATCAAAACATAATTTACTGAAGGCTTCGAAGGCCTGTTGCAAGCGGAGCGGAGGCTGTAAACGCTCAGAAATGCAGCATTTCTGGCCGTTCGCAACCTCAAAATACCGAAAAAGCACAGCAGTTATGCGGGAACTTCTGAAAATCTGAGTTTCCAGAGAGGCTGCAGATACTGTATCCAGCAGCAGTTCTGTACTTTCAAAGAGGCTGGAAATACTGTACCCCGCAGCATTTCTGAGTTTCCAGAGGCTGCAAATACTGTAAATAGCAGCATTTCTGCGCTTTCAGAGTCTGGAAATACGGTAAACGACAGCATTTCTGAGTTTGCAGATGCTGCAAATCAATGCTGGCATCTTGTCATTAGAAGTTTCAAAAAAAAGCGTATACTCTGAAGCAAGCCAGAACGATGAAAGAAAGAGCGGGGGGGGTTGGGGGGGGGGCGCACACCCCCCATGTGCAAACACAATGCTCGCATCATGGGTTTCGAAAGTATGCTGAAGCACCTGGCACGACTTAAAATAAAGCGGGGGGTGCCCCCCCTCCCCCCGCATTTGCAACACAAATCAGAGGCGTCGAAAAGATGCGTATGCTTTGAAGCAAAGCTGGCACGACTTCAAAAAAAGCGGGGGGTTGTTGGGTGGGGGGGGGGGCCCCATTTGCCAACACAATGCTCGCGCAATGGGTTTCGAAAAGATGCGGATGCTTTGAAGCAAGCTGGCACGACTTCTTCCTTGCTTTCTTTCTTTTGTCATTTCTTTCTTTTTACTGTCTTTCTTTCTTGATTTCTTCCTTCCTTCCTTCCTTCCTTCTTTGCTTCCTTGCTTCCTTGCTTCCTTGCTTGGTTGCTTCCTTGCTTCCTTGCTTCCTTGCTTCCTTGCTTCCTTGCTTCCTTGCTTCCTTCCTTCCTTCCTGCCTTCCTTCCTTCCGTCCTTCCTTCCTTCCCTCCTTCTCTCCCTCCCTCCCTCCCCTTCCCTCTCTCCGTCGGAAGAACAGAATACATTTTTCTTGGTCCTAAATATATGCTGTTATCCTAAACAAGTTTGTTCTTGATCCTAAATAAAATTCCTTTGATCCGCATGCCACCCTGCGGGCCTCTTGTCGGAGACTGCACTCATTCCTTGCGCTCAAGGTCCAGCCTCCACGTCGCTGACGTCCAAGTCCATGGCGGCTAGCCAAATCTTGACTTCGTAGTGCTCCAAGATGTGCCTGAACCTGACAAGCGCTAAACCTCAAAAGGCCCTAAACCCTGAAACTGTCGGGTTGTCGTGCGCCGACCGCCAACTCGGAGGACCACGAAATTTTCAGGAGAACTTTAGCCGCTTTAGCCGCACTTTCTTCCAAGGTACTCTTCCATATCCAGGCGTCCGTCACCAGATGTGTCGGCATCATGGAAAAGGGCCGACATCTTCGCCACATGTGTGCGCATGGCACGCTGCTTCTCGCGGACCATGACAGTGTCGTCCATGTGAGCTACCTGCAGCATCTCGCAGCTCGTCTTCGGTCTGCTGAGGGTTCTTTGCCACCTTCCTAGCTGGCTTAGGGCGCCTTTTTTGCTTTTAACGTTTCGCCTGGTCAGGGTTTAGTGGGGACTGTAACGTGACACCCTCTCCCTCTCGCGATGCTAGGGCCTACGATGCCTGAGGGACAAACTCAACTCAAGTCAGCACTGCTGAGCTTGCAGGCAGGCCTTGAACGTCTCTTGCATCAGCACACCATTGATCACCTTGCATTTGCTTGAGCAGCAGATTCTCGGAACTGAAAGTAAACTACGTACATGGGGCAAGGCAAAGAAGAGGCACTCTGCGCTGCTGTTTGCATCGAAATCCCTGGTTCGAAAGCTGTGGTCAAGCTAAAATCAAATCCCGAACGACTTTCTGATAGACATGAGCTTTGGCTGGACCAACTCTGACTCAAGCCGAGGCTAGCAAAGCGTAGGTTCTTAAAGCCCAGCCGACACCGTGCAGCTTTGAGGTTGAGGGCTTTCCTGCCTCAAGTGGCACAAAAGACATGGCACCCGAAAGCACCGCATGTATGGAAGCACACAAGTCGAAAGCAAGTCACGCCAACCACCGCGAAGCCCATAGTCAGCTTGTGGAACAAGCCTCAGTGCTCTGAGTCACTAGCCGCGCCCCTCAGCAAAGAGCAGAACTTTACAAACTTCGGCTCGGGTCGAGACTCAATAAAAGGCAAGAGGCAAAAGATCATCCACCACTCGCTGACTTCTTCCATCAGCAATCGACACACAGGAGGCCAGTTTGCAAGGGTCATCTCGAAGAGGCTCAGCAGTGCACGCGTAAAGGTTCCGAAGTACTCCTGGGTTGAAGAACCGTAAACCCTAAACCCTAAACCCTAGGGAGGGTTCGTGACTCAACGGAGCCAACGGGTGGACTATCCAAAGAATGTTCCCACTGGACGATGATCGAATTCTTACATACTTTCTGGATTGCCCCTCGCGTGCCCAGTGGTTTTTCCAGGCATGCGAAAGAGTAGCGAGCGGGCTGAGGCTGCAGCATCCACAGATTTCATGTTTCAATTCGGAACCGAATCTCGGGTTTTCAATGGGGGCCTTCGTGCACACACCAAGAACCAAGCGCCGCCGGTTTGCAAGCTAGAGAAGCTGAAGCGACTAAATCAAATCTCACGGATGTCTGTCAAGAACGAGGTTTTAAGAGACGATGCAGCCATTTCGCGAGGGGGCAAGACCCTTTTATCCATAAAGCCTAGGATTCACGGGTGATGCATGGCTTTGGTGAGCGTAGGCTCGGCATACTTATTGGGCAGATTAAGGGGGCACCCAACGCCGAGTGGCGAAGACGCGCAGCTGTGCGTCTTTGCCTGCCTGGTCCGCGGAGGCGTCGAAATAGAAGCCTTGGTTTCAGGTCCGGTCAGCAGGACTTAGGACTTTCCACTTTCACACCGACTGAAGATTCTGAGTACGGGGGCCCAGAGCTTTACATTGAAAGCCACTGCAGGAAACAGGAAAGGTGAGACCAGAAAACCAAAAGCCACGCCAGGCCAACTCGTCAACTCGAGTCCACCTGGGGCTGTGCGCAGCTGCTTGGGAGCACACCTTTGGCCATCTGTGCTGCGATTTCCGCAGCCATGCTTCTTTGGCTCTGGTGGTGCAAGCAGACACGGATTACTCCAGGCTGGAAGTTGAGTAGTCTTCAGGGCTGGCGGGCAAGCGGCTCGAACTCCGGCGATGGAGCCTTGGTGTTGCTCCTGTTGACGCAGTACATGGCCAAGCTCAACCAGATGATACCGGAGAGGATGGACAAAAAGATCTGAAGCGTCGAAAAGTCTCCGTGAAGCAGCTGCTCGTATGTTTTTACCACTGAGTCGCAACCACATCCCTCGCCGTGGACCACAGCTCCAGAAATCGTAGAATTCACCATCTGTGACCACGCCGGCAGCTTCGTTCCATCCCTGTCCAGAACCTTCTTAATGTCATAAACGAACCGCCACTTGCTGCCGGAGTCATCCCACATCAGTCGGTCCCAGAAGTCTCCTAAATCATCTGTCTGGTTTATTGCCCAGAGTCCCACAGCATTCGCTGCGCTGATTCCAGCTATGGTCACCTGCATCCTTGCGAATCTAAAGTCTTCCTCGAACTCAACCCGCAGCATCCCGGGGCTGAAGAAAGCGAGGTTCGCTGTCACCGCTGCGTACTCTCGCCAACCTGCAGAGTCCGAACTGTAGGACCAGCTATATCCAGCGCCAAAAGTCAGAAGAATCGTTCGGCTGGTCCTGTCATAAGCTCCGGCTTCCAGTGTCAGAAGGAGCTCTGGGCAGGTGTTGCCCCTCATCCAAAGCACGCCTGGTGATTTCTATGAAACACAATTGCGGTGCCCTTTTCGGGGTGCCCTAACTATATAGGCGGCAGCCTTAGAATGGAAACCCCAAGAGGAGAGTCCCCCGCCTCGAATTTGCTCAGGCACTTCCTCATTCTGATGTTTTTGCCGCATCGTGATGGAAGCGTCATCTGCAGTCAGGACTTGCACCCTGGAAAAATGCACCAGGTAGTTGAGGAGCAAACCGAGCGCCAGCAAAGCGAAGAAGGTGACACAAGCCCCCATGGCAGCAAGCTATTTTGCTCTGATGCGCACACACACACACACGCCGTAAAACTGAAGCAGCAAGATTTCTTACATTGCGGGTATCATCATTCAATAAACACATTCCATGATGCATTTCATGCGTTGCCGCATGAACGATGTCGCCACTGGGTCTGGTAATGATGTCACAGCTGTTGCTAGCTTTACCAGCTTGTGCTCATCGAGACTGCAGCATAGGCAAAAAGGCTGGGGACCCCCGAAGTCGACGGAGACCTTCTGCGCATGCTTGCAGAAAGGGTGCTTATGATCAGCGCATGCGGGTCAGCGATGCCCAAAACTGGGACCGAATTTAGCCCCAAGCACGAGGTATGAAAGAAGCCTGAAGGTTTCGTTTTCTTGGTTTTTTTTGCTCCGAGTTCCCATGCTAAAGCCACGACACCATGCATCCACATGATTGTGCCTAGAGACGGGCGACTGAGATGTTGGGGGCAGGAAACATAGCTGGCAACGACTGGTAAGGAGCCCGCGACCCGAAGTATCTCGGTATCTGCAACCCCCAGCTCCACCCTCATGGCGAATACAGGGGCTGCAATGAATAGCATCGGCTTTTGGGGGTTACTATAGTATACTTACAAAGCGACCATAAGGAAATACTACTAGTAACTATTCCAACCCCCTATCTGACTCCCTTTAGCAGCTACGGGACAGATAGAACTTACCAAGCAGACAAGCCTGACTTTTTCCAGGGACAACGGCCCGGAATGCGGTAGGGTTTGAGGGTTTAGGGTTTAGGGGAGTTGAGTCCAAGAAGCCATAAAGGAGCTGCTGGACGATAAGCGCGAAGAGCATCTGGCAGACAAAGAGCCTGAGAAGTGCATCGGAGGCTGACGGTTTTAGGGTTTAGGGTTTAGGGTTTCGGGTTTAGGGTTTAGAGCTTAGGGTTTAGGGTTTAGGGTTTAGGGGAGTTCAACACTGGTTGATGGTCTCTGTAAAAACCCTCATGAGAGTTTACGATATTAGGGGTTCCTTTTTTTGGAATCCTACTATTTGGGATCTATATTCTGGGGGGCCCTTACTTTCGCAAACCCCCCCGACCCCCAGAGTTCCCCCGCCGAACCTCAGCTGCATTCTACTTTGAGTTTAGGGTTTAGGGTTTAGGGTTTAGGGTTTAGGGTTTAGGGTTTAGGGTTTAGGGTTTAGGGTTTAGGGTGAAGGGTTTCGGGTGCCGAGCGGCAGAGTAATCGTCCACCCAAGAACCATGAAGCTGCTGCGGATGGCGGTAGTCATCAAGAAGAGTGCATCAAATTCCTTCCTGGGCCCAGCATGGAGAGCAGAATGGAGTAGAACCAGAACCCTGAAAAGACCAAGATCCCAAACGCCTTCTTGGCACTAAGCCTTTTTCCAAAGAGACTTCGCCCCTTAAACTTTGAACTCCCGAACCCTCTGGCTACTTGGAGGTTCATGGTACTCATTAACCAGTTATCCGCCGACCCCCGCGCGCCCCACCCCCACAACCCCACCCACTGCGGCACCCCGCCGCCTCAAAGTCTTGTGTTGGGCGTCGGCGGCACTGGCGGTAGCCATGACAAAACTGTACTCATAACCACATAGGGCACTTAAGGGGCTTACAAGTGGGTTCCAAGTAGGCTGCCGAGGCACATGCGCCGCACCAGGCGCAGCATCCGAAGGAGGCGAAAGAGACGGCCAAGCCGGAGAATCTGACCTAATACTACAAATTGCTTAAGAACCCCAGAAACATAAAACATATTCTTCCTTATTAAGGATAATATAGGGATTATTATTTTCCATTCTCTTGGGGTTCTGAAGCAAACAGGGGCCTGAATGACTAGAATAGGGTATCGGGGCGGGGGGGGTTATTATAGTATAGTTATAAAGGGACCAGGTGATTATAGCATAATTGTAAAGGGACCATAAGGGAAGACTATGAGTAATTATTCCGACCCCTATATTGCATGAAGCGATCTCAGTTGGTTGCTGGTTTCTTCTTCTCCGACTTGACCTCTTTCGCTCCAGCACTAGCTGGGCGGACCACACTGCCAGGTTAGGCTTTCGGAGGCTTTCTGGGGAAATTTGGTGGGTTTAGAGTAGGGACCGCTGACCTATAGGGTTGCCCAACCCCACCTTCTACCCTATACACCTTTACCCTATGGAAGGTGTGGGGTCTTCCATCTTTTGCGGTCTCAGCAGCTGTTCACCGGAAGTGTGCGCCAAAGCTTCCCAAACAGCCACACCTGGGGTGTTCAGGGCTCTTCCGGTCCAAGGAATAAACGGCGAAACTTTCTGCTTTTCTTCCTACAAATAAGGAAGGCCAAGCAATTTACAGCTCATGCTTTGACTATGTAAGTTTGGAGCCCTGAAAGTTGCAGTTTTGTGGCTTCAGCTCACGCCCTACGGGTGGCCAGCTCTGCTTTCAGGAATGAAGCTTGTATCCTCGAGCCCCAACTTGCAAACACGCAGAATATGCAAAAGGGGTGCCAAGTTATCACCTGCTCATCTTGGTTGTGACTGGAGTGGTTTCAGCCCCCGGTACTCCCACTGCTGATGTGGTACTGCTGAACAGCCCAGACGTTATTCTTTCATGATTATCGGGCTTGGGCTTGTCTGCAAATTGCAAAATAGGCACAGCAGCTCCAAAATCACATAGAGTCATAGAGGCATCGGCAACCACAACTAGCCTTAACTGTCCAGGCGGCAAAGACCACGATGGCATCAAGCCAGTTCCAACCTTCCTTGAAGAATGCACAGCGTTCGGCAAAGAGCCGCAGTGCGACCTGGCATCACTTAGTTGTCCAGTAACCTGGGGGAAGTAAAGGTTAACCTTTGGGATTATAATTTGATTATACTACCCCAAAAAAGGTTAAAGGTTAACTAATCTACTACTAGGATCAGGTAGACCTAGACAAGATTAGGCCTTTCTTCAGTGAGGTTTCTTAGGGGATTGCGGAGAGACTTGCGTTAAAGATGCATAGTGCAGGACCTTCCTCAGTGCCCTGAATGAGCGAAGGCGCCTCGATCGTGAAGATAATGCCGAAGAACATCTCCATGGCCGGGAACACATCACGGGCACCTGGCATGTTTACTTCATTGTGAGTTCAAGCTATCGAAGCTTGTTTGCATGTTCCGCCCATCCCCTCCTACCGCCACCTCCAAACGACGCAATCGGCGAAAGCCCTAGAAGCCTTCTCTAGGCACTCTTCACCCCCTCCCCCCCAAAGACTGTTGACAAACAAGAATTGGGCGGAGCTTAACAATGATTCAGGGTCGGGGCTGACTCCTTGTGCAGCTCAGCAGCGGGGCCTGCAATGATTCCCCGGCTTTGGGATCCCTAAACCCTAAACCCTAAACCCTAAACCCTAAACCCTAAACCCTAAACCCTAAACCCTAAACCCTAAACCCTAAACCCATGTTACAGCAAGCCCCGGCAAGCCTGGCCACGCATCATGAGCAGCTAAAGAGATCTCGTCTGCTTTGAACCCCAGGGCCTCGCATGGCGAGGGCATGGCTGATGTTGTGAAAGGGTTTAGGGTTTAGGGTTTAGGGTTTAGGGTTTAGGGTTTAGGGTTTAGGGTTTAGGGTTTAGGGTTTAGGGTTTGTTGTTGGGGTTACGAATTTGGTAAGGTGGGGTGGGGAGCTGCCAGAGCTTCTCGGACTGAAAACTGGCCAATTGGGATCTGCTATCTCTAAGTCCATTCCCATCCGCCCGAAAGCACCGGAGAAAGCCTCGGCCAGCTCGAAGCCCCGATACCTTCGAGGCGGAGATTGTCAGACTCGTACCCCTCAAGGTTGTACCCCTCAAGGTTTCCCTTCATGTACTCCTGATATGGCCCTGATAGTTCCCTGGGAGGATCTGAAAAGAGGGTCCCCAAACCCAAGGGTACAAGCTTAGGGGTCCGAGGGGGAATCGCGGCTTCTGCGCGCACGCCTGGGTGGCCTTTAAATGCTGTCAGCCTTTCGGCCCGCAGCCCTGTCTCAGTAGCCGCACCCTACAGCCCCTCGCATGTGCACACGGACTACAAACATTAACCATTAACATCTACAGCATGTTCTTTGCCGCTCACAACCTGCTTGCACCTGTAAAAAGTCTAAACTTGCAGAAGCAAGTCTCGCATTGCACCTAGTATTTTTGATTTTATGACACTTTGCTTTTCTTTGCGCCATGGCTGGCGTTAATGTTGCTTTCTGCGCGTTAGTTGCGAAAACTAAATCCAGACCTTTGCCTGTTTGAGTGTCGCTTGTGCTGGTCGCTTGCAGCCGTGCTAACAACCTCCTGTGCCCAGGCCCTGTGCTTCTGCCGCTGCTGCCGCTGCCGACGCTGGCATTACGTTTGTACTGCTAGCTGCTAGCATCTGCATTGCTGTTCTGCCACCACGCCGCTACCCCCTCTGCATCGAACTCTTCTCTTGGCCTGCACACTGAACCCATCTGAACCCTGGGGATGGCCAAGATGCTGCGCTTCGAAAGCAAACACCAGGGTATTGCACACGATGAGGAAGCTCATGGTGCAGTCAACTGCAGGGTGCCTTCCAGCATTCCAGCATTCCAGCAGGCAGGATTTTCAGTTTGTTGACTCTAGGATTCACGCAATCTCCGTCTGTTCGAAGCTTTAAAGTGGTCGCGCTCCTTGCCTGGTTCCCCCGCACCCCCCTCTAGACACAAATGAATGCCAGGCCTGAGTATTTTTTGCAGCCGAGCTCGGAAGGTGGCGTCCGACCTGGCCGACACATGCCGCAGGCAGATCCCACTTTTCTTCTAGAGTCCAGAGATCGAGAAGTCTTCTCTCGTTTGTTCAGGTTACTCGCGATGCTGCCCCTCTGTCATTACAAGTCGCTCAGCCCCAAAAGCAATCACTAGGCCGGCCTGCTGGAGCTCGGGATTTGGGGCGGGGGCTGCTTCTTCGCCATTGGGCCCACGTGCTGGGACTTCCCCTGCTCCCAGCCCTTCTGGTTGTCCATGTTGTGTGCATCTTGAAAGGACTTGCTCCGCACGCTCATAGGGTGGCTCAAGGTCAGCGGCATGTCTTCGGCGTTCTCGATTGCCTGGTTTGCTTTGTGTGCCTCGCTCCCCTCCTCCTTCGGCTCCTTCCACTCCATCGGCTCTTTCGACTCCTTCAGCTCCTCCGCCTCCTTCGGCCCCTGCGCCTCCCTCGGCTCTTTCGGCTCGTCGAAAGCTGCGGCCAATGAATGCGGCGGCACGGTGAGGAGCTCCTCCCGAAGGAGCTGCATCTCGCTGCGGTGGCACTCTCGTAGCTGCCGGAGCAGCTCTTCAAAGGCATCGTTTTTAGGGCTCGTGGACATGGATCTGACCGAAATTCGCCGGCCCGACATGGCGCACAAGGACCAAAAGAGATCTTCAGCGGCACTTCTCTATCAGCGCCAGCGCTTCTGCGCAGCAGAGCACTGTTGCTGGTATATGCTGTGAGAGCCTCACTTCAAGAGCCTGCTGCTGCTTCTGGGCTTTGGTTTCCACACCCCGTCATGCTACGGAGCCCCCTGAAACTTGCGGAGCGACGCGTCAAACAGGCGGGTGCTTGCGACATCGAGCGTGAGGAACTCAACATTCCCATCTCAGAACCAACAGCCACATGCTTGATGCTGGAATCCCTTTGAACCCTTTGAGGCAAGGATCCTGGGAGGTCCGAAGCCACAGGCTCTTTGCACATGCAAAATTGCATTCAGACTCCGGAAACCTTTCTACGACAGCTCCAGGCCTCACCAGCTGAGCACACTTCTCTGCCAGCCCGGTCGAGTCAACGTATTCCTCCACACCATTGTCAAGCTACATTTTGTTTTTCTTCTTCTTCTTCTTCTTCTTCTTCTTCTTCTTCTTCTTCTTCTTCTTCTTCTTCTTCTGCAGGGCTTGGGGGAAACCCCCGCGCACCAGGCGCGCCCGGAGGTTTTTTTCTTTTTTTTTGCTCTCTCTCTCTCTCTCTCTCTCTCTCTCTCCTGCACGCTTAGGCCCCCCGAAGGGAAGGCTGCCCCAAGGGGCGCGCGAAGTCCTCTCTCTCTCTCTCTCTTTCTGTTCTCTGCCTCTTTCCCATTCCATCCGCTGCTTCGCACCATGCCCACTGTGAATGCTTCTCAAATTCAAGTTTTTCAAATTGAGGAAGGTAGGCCAGGGTGCGAATCAACGGGAAAATGTGCTACCCGTACTGCCAAAATTTGTACAGAAGCGACATCTGCCATTAAGGATTGCATGAATACGAAAGACAAAAAAGGACGGCCTCGCAAAGTCAACAGGCGCAAAGCCAGAACTTGCATTGCCAGCGAAACGTTCACATCGAGCCATCGCCCCTAGGACCAGAAGCACAATTTCCTTCACACAGGGCCGAGCATCCTACGGCCTGGCAGCCCAGCACCCTAAACCCTAAACCCTAAACCCTAAACCCTACACCCTGAACCCTAAACCCTACATCTACGCTCGCGAAGGAGTCCTACAAAGACCGCACCTCGGCCATCTCCAAAAGCTCCACTGCCACCTCTGGCCTGCAGGGGCTCAGCACACTCTTTGCAAAAGCGCGCGGTGAGAGTATATTGTCTACACATACAAATAAACAAAAAACTAAATAAATGTATAATATATAAAGTTATATATATATATATATCTATATATTTATTATACTATACATATATATATAGATATTCAGTCTTTATTGTGGGGCTTAGGATATGAGGAGTTGGGGCTTCGTTGAAAACAAGACGATCTGCCTGTCATGCAAGCCGCTCGATGCAGCAATCGCAATCGCATGCTTCCTTGCAGCTCGCCTGCAGTCCACGCGGTCCTCGTGCAGATACTGGCCATAGGCGAGGAGTGCCTAGCACAGCATAGGTAAGACCCTTGAACGCATCGCCGCCCACCTCTGCGACTCCTACTATCTGCGACCATAGCTTCTGCAGGGGCAATTAGCGATTGCACATGCACATGCGTACAATCCAGTATCTCTTCTGAGTTCGAAGGGTGCATTTGCCGATTGCCTCATAGGAGTACTTGTGAATCCGCACCGTGTATCGGCCGTCCTTCGGAAAGTGGGCAGGCGGCCAGACATAACTCAGCAGACCGAGGCAGCTGGGCAATCAAGCAACGAATGCAGAACTGCTTTAGTAGCATAGTTCCAGGCCCTGCGGCCAAGCCCGTCCTCATGCCGGGTGACATTGCCCTTGCAAGGACTTTCAAGAAGCCTGCCGGAGGTACAACATGTTGTGTTCAGGGCAAGCGACACGGGCTCGGAGGCCTCGCCAAGTACTGCGAGCGGACCTTAATGGTGTCCAGGCCCACCTGCGAGGATGATCATACCAGCTGGGCAGCAGCTGGCAAAGGGTATGTACCCGGTCTCCGTAGTGCAACCTAAACAGAAGAAGTCTGCTTGAAGGTACATGGAGCCAATGACCGCGTTGCCCTACTTAAGGCATATGACCCTACTTCTAAGTACCCATGAACCTTCAAGCATGCAGGCGCTGGAGTCACAAACGCACGCTGTCAAAGCCCCTGGCGTGAACGGAGTAGGTTGGGCCCTCTGGCATTTTAGCCTGGCATCTGGCGGTTTTGGGCAGCACAAAGCTTCAGGGTTTCAATTGCTTTTTTTGACGCATCTTGGTTTTTTAGATGCATCTAAAGACCAATCGTTCAGGGTGGAGGTTTTAAGCATTCTGGGCTCATGGATGCTCATGGGAGTTGTGGAGATTCCGGAACCTGCACTTCAACCCCTGACTTGTGTCTGTGTGGCTGAACACTGCGCCCGTCGTCCCTCTTCTCTCTTCTTAGCAAACACAGCAGCCATGTCAGGAACAGGTGTGCACATAGCATCTGGCGGGCACTTTTCTCACCAAGGAGGGGTCAAGATCCCTGCCCCTCATAATCTGCAAACTCGTCCACCTCGCACCAGGAAAACAATCTCAGGAGGTTTTGGAGGCGAGCATGTGGTTCTCAACATGCTTGTCTTCCGGGCGTCGGGGGTATCAAGAGGATGAACACCACTTTGAAGAGGACGTAAAATTAAACCAGCAATGGCTAGAATCGATTGCCACAAAGCGACGACTCAGGCCGGGCAAAGGTTGGAGCTGATGGTTTTGTGATGGCGCTTGGGATGCTGGTCTATCACCTACATGCTTGCTCAGGCCCCACGGCCCTGCTGGATCATCACCGTGAAGACAGTGAGGGCTACTGAAACAAAGGCATTGAAAAATCTTCGCCTGCTCACAGAAATCTTCGAAGCCCTCTTAAGAGTGGACCCTTCAGTGCCTCTCCGTACACTTTCTCTTAGTAGGCAATGAGGGAATTGGGCCCTGACCCCCTAAATTAAATAGAACCCTTTAGTTAAGGGATTATCTAGAGTACCAATAGTTCCCTTCTTCCGTTATGGAAACAAATAAACCATAAACCATAACCCTTTTGCAACAGGCTTCGTACTTCACCTCAACCCTAAACCCTAAACCCTCAACTTTAAACCCTAAACCTTCTTACGGGCCAAGTGAGGGCCTCCTCTGCGGCCACGACGGGTGCAATCTTCTCGCGGAGCTGCTGCAGAATGGCCCTGGAAGAGTCTTCGAGGTTTAGGGTTGAGGGCTAGGGTTTAGGGTTTAGGGTTTAAAGTTTAGGGTTCAGGGTTGAGGGTTCAGGGTTAGGGTTCAGGCTTCAGGGTTCGGGGTTAAGGGGGGGCGCGACCCGGGTAACCCGAACCTGCAAACATTTCTTTTGCCCAGATCTGCTTGCAGTCACAACGAACAGCCAATGTGAAACAAACCATCCTCAGCCTCAACCCCTCTTCACTGTTGAGTTGCCGGGATCTGCCTGAAGATCTCCACGTTGTGCTCCTTAAGATGGATGCCTGGCATTGCACATCGGCTGGGGTCTTCGATACAAGATGATGTCAGTTCGCTGCGGTTTAAGAGGGCTTCTCATGCAGGTCTGGTGACAACAGCCTTTTTTTCTCCCTCGCTGAGGCTCCAGCGAATCTGGGCAGACACTACCGGCAGTGCTTTCGATGCAGGTCAGGGCCCTCCGTCGGGCACAGGATCTTGGCGAAGCTCTGGACCATTTTTTCATCTCCACCGCGTAGCGCCCCAGAAGCTGAGCGGGTCTCGGACGTGCTGAGACAGCTTCACGGAGGCTCTCACAAGGGCTCAGCTGCACGAATCGGGCGTGCTTGTGGAGGTCCCTCTCGAACGGCCGTCTTCTGTTGCTCCTCACGCATCCTCCGGACCTCATCTTTGAGGACGTCAACGGTTAGGCGCTCATGATCCAGCGCCTGAGCCTGCTGCTGCAACAGCACCTGCTGGGAAGCCAGGCTCTGGCCCAACTGCTCCCCACTTCGGCCAAGGGCGCGGAGCTCTGCCTGGAGCCCAGCGCGCTCGGCCCGGAAGGCCTCGCAGGCTTCGCTGAGGCGCCGGTGCGTGGCCCGTAAGCGCTTCCGGGCTTCCTCCAGGTCTCGGCGTCGGAAGTCGAGGCCGTCCTTGGCCAGACGCAGTTCGGACAAAGCCGTCGCCTTGGGCTGGAAGGTGCCGGCATCGAGCCCGACGAAGGATGCCATGCTCTGCCTAAGAGTTCCCTGCTGAGCCCCAATCGAGAAGACGTTTTCAATCGTTAAGGCCGCAGGTTCCTGAACTTTACAGGGAGTGCGGGGTGTAAGCTTGTTGCAACGCTACACCTTGTGTCTTTTTGCAAACCTTCTAAGAGGCCCCCAAAAGCAACAACCCCCACCCGCACAACTCTCGTGCATCTCTCAGTCTGCACTCATGCGACAGGCCCCACCGCCGGCCTAGGAGAATCGGCTTCGAGGACTTCTGCGCTACCACTTCGATGAGCGACCGCGCGATCGCCTGGTCTGTCTTCATTGTTCTCTCCCGCCTAGCAGGGCTTAGCCGGTCAGCCGATGTCAAACCCGAACCGCAAATCCTCACATTCAGGGTCTGGGGTTCGAGCATGATGGCTTTGTGTCATGATAGAAGGTCTTGCGCCACGCCGGAGATGACACAGTGTTGCGATGAAGCCGGCCTATTCCGAAAGCCTGCCCCTCTGCCAAAACAGCCCAAGCCCTGCAAGAGGTCCAGCATCGAACTGAAGGGGGGGTTCTTACGGCCTTGACTTGACCACTCACCAAGACTGATAGCGGCATCGAGAGGGAGCAGTCTGCCACTCACAGACTCTTTCATCCGCCACTAGGACCACTAGGGTTTCTCCTATACTTCAGGGGGCTTTCCCGAACTATAAGGTGTGTGGAAAGCATCGAAGCCAACAGTCCAAATCTGTGTGGGCCGACTCTGTAGTGCTCTGCTCGGCGATCTCCGAAGAGCACCTGCCCGAGAACTCGATGAAAGGGCAGTTTAGGGTCTGAGTCTTAGGGTTATATAAACGCCCAAAAGGGTTATACAGTAGGGTTTAGGGACTTAGGGTTTGTCGTGGTTTGGGCTTCGAGGAGTGTCGCGGGCATGGGAGGTCGCAGTGTGGCCTCCCTGCTCCCTGCATGCCGAAAAAAGCTCGTGTGCTTGGCACGCTCGACCCACCCTCATTGCTCACAGAAAGGAGCCACTAAGTCACTATGCCTTTTGGTACGTGTGTAAGCGTGTGGACCTTTGCGAGGATCGAAGGTTCACGCCTTCACAGCACCCCATACAACGAGACAACCCAGCCTGTTTAATCAGTCCGCAACTCTGTTTCTGTGATGGTTCCCGGCACCTGGACGTCGTAGGTGCGCTCGCCACGGGCAAGGCCTGTCAAAAGCGCCGTCAAGCGTTCCGGCGTGTCACTTGTGTACTCCGTGTATGCCCCATGTGGCCCTCTTTACTGGTCTCCAACAAGGTATGTAAAGGGACCTTAGTGGTCTACACCTTGGGGCATGATTGGAGCACATGACTTTGTGAATATTCTGGCGGGGCCAGACTAGAAGGTTCTCTTCGAGAAGGCGCCTGGACGGAAACTCATGCAATTATTGCACTTCAGGAGTTGTGCGTCCGAAGATGTGACCAAGTCGGTCAAGAGTCACTACAAGCTTTTTAGAGCTGGAGTGACCAGCTACATGACGTAACGTTCACGGCCCATTGCCCGAAATCGTGAGACACACACACACACAAAGTAGGAGGGCACTACAAACGCTAGTGGATTCCCCTTTTCCCCTGCAAACACAACCCTCCCACCCCCCCCCCCCATAGTCTTAACCGTTCGCCCACATCTGCCTGTGGTGGAGCTTTGAACCAAAAACCTGAAACCCACTAACCCCTGAAAGCAACATCAGCGCCCATTTGATTAGACTGGCCATTGTGGGCAGCCTCTGGAATTCCATAGACTGAGGGCGATGCTAGAAAAGACTCACGAGCGTAGCACGTAAGACTTAGAGCGCAACCCCGTGCATGTTTAACATGCGCCGGTTTTTCGCAGGCTGTAGAACCCTGAGCCCTAACCCCAAACCTGAAGCCACAAGCCCCTTCAAATTATTTAGATTTGAAACGGAGACTCCTCGAAACTTTCCCGAGCCTGAACCCTTCATGAGACCAAAACCCTAAATCCCTCCATCCCTTAACCCTAAACCCAAAATCCTAAATCCCTAAATCCCTAATAAAATCCTAAATACCTAAACCCTAAAAATATCTCTAAACCCTAAATATCCCTAACCCTAAATATCTCAAACCCTGGCTCCCTAAACCCTAAATCTCCCTAAACCCTAAGTCTCCCTAAACCCTAAAAATATCCTTAAACCCTAAATAACCCTAAACCCTAAGTCTCCCTACATCCCCAAACCCGAAAAAAACCCTAAACCCAAAAAACATCCCTAAACCCTAACTCTAAACCCTAAATCTCCCTAAAACCCCAAACCCTAAACCCTCGGCGGCCTCCCATGTCCGCCATGTCCCCGGAATTGGGCGCCGAGGCTGTGGCCTGCTTTGGGCTTTGGGCGGGCTTCAGCTGGAAGGGTTTAGGGTTTAGGGTTTAGGGTTTAGGGTTTAGGGTTTAGGGTTTAGGGTTTAGGGTTTAGGGTTTAGGGTTTAGGGTTTAGGGTTTAGGGTTTAGGGTTTAGGGTTTAGGGTTTAGGGTTTAGGGTTTAGGGTCTTTCTGTGAAGGGTTTAGGGTTTAGGGTCTAGGGCGCTTAGGGTCTCTTTTTGCCACCCGCCTAGCTGGCCCTTTCGCCCCGATGAACAGCTGGGATTCAAGCACTGACACAAAACCTCATAACATTTCGCTTTCCCCCCAATGAACCGCTGGTGACACAGTAATCGATCGCAATGTTTTGTGCAGCCTTGCGTGCTCCACGTTTGTGGTTGAGGGTTTTGTGGTTTGGGAGTTGCGGGCCACGGCGATACGTGCGGCGATACCACGGCGATACGCCTGGCCATACCCCAACGTGCGATTTTGTGATGTCTACAGATTCTGTCTGTTTTTCAAGGCCGAGCAGAGGGTTTACAGTTTAGGCTCCGACTCCTGACACAAAAACCAGCCACCAGTCCCCCACCAAAATGGCTTCTGGCAAAGGAAAACCAGCACATTGCTTTCAGTCACATGTCTGGAACATGCAAATCCCTAGTGTGACCGCTGAATGTTACGACTTCTTGTTTCCGTTCCCCCAGTGATTGCAAGCAACAAAGGACAAATGCTCTGTCTTCGGGGTTCGACTGTATGAAGCCATAACTCACATTGAGCACTTTCTGATGCTTTGAAAAACGCAACTAAAAATGATGCAAAGGAGCACCTCAAAAACAGCAGCTCTCTGAGTTCGGCTGCTACGGGTTTTAAGGGCATTCAAGCCTTTGGCGAGAGCTGAGGGTGTAGGGTGGCTTGGATTTAGGGGGTGTGAGGCGTGGGGTGAGAGCAAGATGTGGAGCTTCGGCCGGTTTCGGCTCCCTTCAGCTAGCATACAGCTCTGGCCCCATGCAATCATACCTTCATAACCCTAAGCATTAGGGCACCCCTTGGCTTCCCTAAACCCTAAACCCAAAAGAGCTTCTTGATCTTCTCTTTTGGGGGTTTTTTGCTCCTCGGCCTAAACCCGAAACCCGAAACCCTAAATGCCACACCTGGATGAGGGAGCCAATCTTGGCATTCTGCGTGATCAAGAAGAACAGCTCTGAGCCTGGACCCACTTCAGCCCAACAGCCCTTCTTATACTAGCAGTCCTTCAGAGATGAGAACCGGTAGTACTATATAAGACGATATAATCCCTATGAAGGACTGTTAATACAAGGGGGAACATCCCATGGCTATCATACTGACCAGACATGCCGGTAGTGGTGGTTTTTGTGTCGGTTGTGTGATGCGGTCGACGTGATTTCAGCTTTGGGCTGCTTGAGTTTGTACGAGTACTGTAGGGTTTGGGACAGTTTGCCCGGATCCAGATTTTGGATTTCATTCCCCTTCGCATCCCGACTACCTTTCGGCTTGTTCGGGGGTGTTTCAATGTCAGGAAGGATGATTCCGCAAACTGCTATGCCTCGTGGTTATACATGTGTTAAGCCGCGATCCCCACATGAACTGAAATTTGCTAAAGAAACAGTTGCGCTAAATTAAGGCTCAGGGCCTGAAATCACGCGAAAAGTGAAGAGGCTGAAGTACATCTTGCAAACTTGCACGGCATTCGTTTGGAACAGGAGAAGTCATCGTATAGGAAAATGAAGCCATGGGAGGGGGGGAGCTAAATGGCCCTTCCTTGTCCCACACGCTTTAGCCCTTGTCTTCTGAGCCACCGTACCATAATCGGTGATGACCTTGGCTTTCAGTTGGTGAGCTACGGAGCAAGCGAAATGGATGCTGCAGCTCAAGTTTCCCGTTGCAGTTGCGGACATTCGCAGCTGCAATCACCTATTGAAGGACCTATTGGATAACAAGACCTTTAGAGATTCGGCACGCCATGCATGTCCCTTTGAAGGCACTCTTAGGCTTAGGGCTTTCTCATGCACACGAGTGGCTGGCATTGCAAAAAGGAGCCGTGCCGTGATGCCCTGACCCCCTTTTGAAAACTCTATGGTCCCCTGTCTATCACAGCCCGACTGCTCCCCTCACCGTTTCGTCTGTCAAGGTCCTCACAAGCGCTCTGCTGATGATTAAGCATGTGGCAAAGCTTGTCGGCGTGCCCTGGATCTCGACCTCCTCGGCGCTCGCAGGATATAAGGTTCGTACTAGTCTTCACGCAACGGATACCGAGAATGTAGCAGTGCGCCTCTCTGCAAGAGCGAGACCCTCGCCCCGTTGAATCATTTACCTTTGGGGATGCTACTCGGGCCCCCAACCCTGAGACCCTGAGGCCCTGAGGCCCTGAGCCCTTGAAGAGTCAAGACGAGCTTCCCATTGGTAGGACTCGGGAGGTCCAGCTGGCCGAGCCGCCATCGCGACGGCAGCGAGAACGAAGGTAGAGGCTGGGCTGTGTAGTAGCTCGTTGCATTGGGGTCTTTTTCCGCCGCGGCTGGAGCGTTCGACTCGACACAACTACCCTTCCCTAACCCAACATGCGTTTAGGAAATGGTGTGCACCTATCAACACCAGGCATGACTCCAGAATTCTTGAGCGACTTATTTCTCAAGTTCTTCGCTGGGCATCAAGCAGCTTGATCCTTCTCCACGAAACACACAGCGCGGAACCTTTCTGTGCTGACGCCCCTGCGGCCCTATGGGCTCAACCAGTCTTGGTTCGCTTTACAGGATAACTTTGGCAGGGCAGACGCAGGAGTTGGCTCATGAAATTCCAGCTCTTCATGGTGGCACCGGCAAACCCGGCGAAGAACCCTCCATACCCCAAGTGCCCCTTCAATGATCTCGCTGCGTCACCTTGGCCGAACTCACCCCAGTGCTGAGACCAGCCGGTGCTGTACCTGTGGGCAAACTGCTTAGTTAGCCGAGAAAACTAAAAGGTTAACCTTGGAAATTATAAGGTTAGGAAGGTTATCTACTCTACTGCCAAGACTGTGGCCAAGAAGGCACACACACACACACACAAAGGTCTTGCCTTGACCCCATTCAGCCAACTCTCACGGCACCCCTTTTTGCCAGGCGCCCGGGCCGGCATACTCGCCGATCACGTCTTGCGAGCTCAAAGTGCCCCCCTGGCTTTGGGTGTTGTTCAGAGCAAACCTGGCTGCCACTTGCTTGGGGCATGTGTTTGCAAACACCTACCCGGCAACGACTCGACACCAGTTGTGGCGTCTCATGGCTCCCCTACTTGGAGCTTCATGGTACTTATTAACAAATTATAACTGTACGTTTAGCTGTACTTACAACTATATTAGGGCACTTGAGGGGCTTATCAGTGGGTTATAAGTTTTACGTACAGTTATAATTGGTTTAATAAGTACCATGAACCTCCAAGTACTCATGCTTCCGCCATCCTTCCCGGCCTGCAGCGCTTGCTGCGTCAAGCGGCGAAGGCTGTCCATGCCCAGGTGTCGCTCTAACAGTCGGGTGGCATAGGCCTTGGATCATGGTTTAATCGCTCACACTCGGACAAGCCAGGCGAGGCACACAGGTTCCACAGTCTCAACATCGGCTCTGCAGCCCATGTGGCCACAGTCATGCTAGGGTTTAGGGTTTAGGCTTTAGTATAGGATTTATCGGCTGGGGGGGGGGGGGGGGGAGGTGCATCAACAAGTCTGAGGACCGAGCTTTCTCAAGTTGATGAACTAAGGATGCCGGCAGCTACTCGGCTCCCACGTTTGTAAGTACTGCCCGAAGTGCCACAGTAGTGCGCCATCACAGAGGCCAGCATCCAAGACTTGATTGTCATGTGCGCATAGAGGCATAGACGTCCTCATCTGCTTGACAGATGTGACGTATTGTTTTGCGTGCCACACCTGACTTGCCCCTTCTTCTTCTTCTTCTTCTCCACGCTTGAGAGGACCCCTCGACTTGCCCCTGAGCCCCACTCTCTCTCACGTGCTTGCCCCTGAGCCCCTAAACCCCCAATCCCCTCAACTTGGCCGGCTACTGAGTCGGACTCGGGCTCCTGAGCCTCTTGGCAACTTTGGGGTTTAGGGTTCAGGATTTAGGGTTTGTTTAGGTTGTAGGGTCTAGGGTTTAGGCTCATCTGGTTTCGGGTGTTCCCTCTTTTGCTTGGTTTGTTGTTTTCCTTTCCTTGTTTCTGGTTCTTCCTGGGTTTTGACATTAGGGTTGGGGGGCTGAGGGCTTAAGGTTCAGGGTTTCGAGCTTTGAGGCCTAGGGACTAGGGGATCAGCCTGCAGGGTCAGGGTCGTTGATTTGGAGGTTCCAATTTGTATGGCTTCACGGTCATCTCTTTCTGCAGTAGGCTCTAGCTCGCGTGTGTTGCTTTAGGCGGAGGTCGACTTTTGTGCATTCGGGAATGATGGAGGGTCTAGAGCTTGCTTGGGGATTGAATGGAGGGCGGTCTTCGGACATGGGAGGCGGACCCTGCACAGGGTTTTAGGGTTGCGATGGTTGTGTCAATGGCATGATGACAATTGCAACCACGTTCGAACCTCAAGCCCTTCCGCTTGAAGAACGACAAGTCCTTCTGCTTGAAGGTTCATGGCTAAGAGACTAGGGCACGTCAAGCAACCTGACTCCGATAGAACAAACGTCATTGCATCAAGCCCCCCAAGAACCTTCAAGTGAAGCGCAGTCTACGTCGGCTTCAAGTTTGTGAAGCGGCCTCCTGTGCTGCGACGAGTTCAACTGCGCTCACCTCCGCGTGGTCTGGGGTTTGGTGCTGAGGGGGCTGGAATAGGGAAGGCATCATCGCCGAAGCCGCGGCTTGCTCCGTTTCGTGAAAACATCTGTATGTTAGGCCTCCGGATGTGATGCCAGCCAAAGTCATGACAACATCAGCGCTGTCTAGACTGCATGCATCGACCACACTCAGTGAGCGCTCAAAGCTACCGGATTGCGCTGGCATCGAGCACCAGCAACCCGACCGTGGAGGGACTTTCCCGCACCTTGGGATCGTTGAAGCCGGGTATGTACACCTGGCGAGGGTGGAGAAACCCGTCAGCCAGCTACGATGCACGACTGTGTTCTCTCTGGCCTGTCCAGCACTGGACTTCATGCACACAACCCGGTTCTCGATGATGATCGCATCCCTGGATCACGTGTCAGGGCATCTGTTACCCCGCTGAAACCCAAAACTTTAAACCAAGGGTAAATCATGCCGTGCCTGTCGTATGGCAGGAACTGCTCAATCAATCCGGCAGTGTGGAACAGGCTGCCAGCTTCACCGCAGATGAAGAACCTCCGCCGGAGCAGTCAGGCCAGCACCCAAAGCATACAGCTCCACATTGACTGCTATGAGAGTTATGCTGGCAGGGAGATGCGCCTCCATTCTTGTTAAAAGCGCTCATTGCCCTCAGTGCCTCTTCAACCTCTGGACAAGTACTTTTCGAAACCGATCCCTGCGTACAGGCTCGTGCACATGCGCACGCGTGTGCATGCGTGTGGCTTTGGCCATGCGCAGCAGATGCAGAATCCACACATCCAAAGTGTCCAGCCCGACCTGTTCTCTCTGGTGAGCACCACGGAAACGTTGAGGCTGGGGTGGCAGAAGATGTCGACCGGTAGGCCGTTCTCATGGCCTCAAAAATCCGAACCATGGCGGATAAGTGGGGCATAGTTTAGACGTGAAGCCGAGGCATGGGTTCCCGGGCTGAAGGGAAGCTCTGTGGTGGTCACACAGCCAGACACAGCACTGCTCAGCTGTCGCTGCCTGGCACTTGTGGTTTCTGCAACTCTGGAACAGATGAGGTACTTCCCGTGCCGCCCCAAAGTGTCGGGCAGACGCGTTTTGCCCACAGCCGTACCTCGGCAACTACCGTGGTGAAACCGTGTGAGGGAGCGCCTCCGCATCCGCAAAACCTGGAACGACCCCTCCACACAACCCCACAACCCATACCGCAACGAACCTTTCCGGCGTTCAGGGGCGGTGCTGATCTCAGTACAGGCTCCGAACCCTAAACCCCTATAAAGCCCCAAGAGCCCTGAGTAAGTCTCCCGCAGCTCCCCGGACGCTGTGAGGAAGAGCGTGTGCTTGGCGCCGCAGGCGAGGCGAACGCATCGCGCACTCCCTTGCCAAGGTCAAACCTAAACCCTCAAACCTAAAACCCTACATCCTAAAAGATAAACCCTAAACCCTTATACCCTAAAACCCGAAACCCTAAATCCTAAGCCCTAAACCCCAAATACTCCTTTAGATCAACCTGCCTGCGGACTCCAAAGTCTGAGGCGGCAGGGGAATGAGGGAGTGAGGGAACTAGGGCCCCAAGGCCATTCCTTTAAAGGGTATACCATAGGGCCCTCATTCCCTCATTCCCTACTAAGAACCAGCGGGCCTTTTTCTTAGGGATTCACCCTGAACCCGAACCCCTAGACCGAATACCCTGGGCCCAATACCCTGAACATCCCTGAACCCTTTTTGAAACCACAACTCTTTGTGCACAACGAGCTTGCGTTAATTGCCCGGCTTGATGTCGGAAAGCAGCTGTGCTCGTGACAGGCTGATCATCAGTTGGATTGAAACCTGTCTTCGCCAACCCTAAATCCTAAGCATACCCACGCTTTGCCTAGGTTTGGGGTTTAACGAACCCTAAACCCTAAACCCTAAACCCTAGACCCTAAACCCTAAACCCTAAACCCTAAACCCTAAGCCCTAAACCCTAAACCCTAAACCCTAAGCCCTAAGCCCTAAACCCTAAACCCTAAACCCTAACAAAAAACCCACACACCCCTTTGAACCGAAGGGCCCTCCGAGAGCAGGGACCTGGCATGTCCAGGGCGAGAGGCCACGGATTCACCCAGGTCTCAGACCTGGGGGGGGGTTTGGGGTTTGGGGTTTAGGGTCTGGGGTTTAGGGTTTAGGGTTTAGGGTTTAGGGTTTCTGCAAGCCCTCTGTGCAGCAGCAGGCTTCACAGGGTTTAGGGTTTAGGGTTGAGGGTTTTTTGCCACCCGCCTAGCTGACTTAGGGTTTTGGGCTTTGGGTTTGGTGGGCCGCCCTTCCGGCCACGGATGTCCCCAAAGTCCTTCGGGTTTTGGTAGCTGCGGGCCAAGATTCCAAACCCTCCTGTTTTCTGGCGCTGGACTTTGGGGATTCAAAGGATAAACCCAAAGGTCGAGGGGCCCTGAAAGCACCAATTCCGAAGTGCTGGAGACATGCGATTTCTCATTACTCCTTTAGATTCCAGAGCCTGATCCAACATGGCATTGCGTCTTTTGCGCGCATCGGCGAAAATCAACTGTCGAGCTCCACAGGCAATCAGTCCGGACACGTGTGCGCTGTATCAGGGTCGCCAAGACTTTGCTGCTGGAGCTTGCGCTGCTGGAAGCCCCCATATCCAGTTACTAAGCTACCGAGATCCTAAGTGCTCGTCCTAAGTCGTGCTGCAGCACTTCCTTTAACTTGCCTCCTCTTGCAAGCTCTGCCCCGTGCCTTTCCAGGGATCTAGTGAAAGTCATGGACGACTTGCGTGTCAGAGTCTTCGCTCGTTAACAGCAACGTGTAACGTCTAACATGCAACGTCTAATGTGCATCCGGCTCTCACGAATCGCATGGTGGGTCATCCAAGTGCGCTGGAAACTTCGGGAAGCGCTTGGCGAAAAGGTCCGAGATGAACTTCACACGCTCCTCGCCCTTCTTTGCGTCGGCCTTACCTCAGAAGAGCCAAACAAACACGTTGGCGTGCCATGGAGGGGATAAACAAACTCGTGGGAGGCCAGTGAAGGGGTCCGAGTGCACTCGCAGGCAGTTGTAGACAGTGACCCTGGGATGTTCCCCCTTGTAATAGCAGTCCTTACTTGATAGGGATCATAGTACCCCCTAGTATAATCCCTATGAAGGACTGCTAGTATAAGGGTAACATCACAACAGTGATGCAGGTTGCCGTTCCAAAAGCTGGTGCCCGTGCCCTTGTCGGTAAGTTCATCATACCTGGCATGCATTGTTAGGGTTTGGGTTTTAGGTTTAGGGTTTCGCCAAGGTCTGTAACACACGTGGCCAGTTCTTGAGACTTGGGTACTACTCTTTTTGCTGTTGTCCCTTTCTTTGTCATCTTTATGGCTGTTGATATCTGTTGGGGTGAGGCTAGTGTGTAGGAGTTCGGGACAGGGTTTAGGATAGTATCAGGGGCCGTGATGCTACAGGGGCCCTAACAAGGCCTGCAGTAGAAGTGGTAATGTGGTAATGTGGCGTACATCCCTCCCTCACTGTAGCACAGGAAGAGGGGACATGTATTGCTGTACGATGATGTATGCATTTCGACAAGCAAAAGAAAGACATGTCATTGCATTACGCGGCATCTATCTATGCAGACATACGTACACGCGTACATTGCATCCGCATGCGCACACGGACACATGCTCGCAGATTCTAGAGGCACCCCCCCGGTGCCCAGGTTCTGCCCAGGTGCTCGCGAACACCAGTGCTCTCGCAGACCTCGTTGTAGTTCTTGATGCCTGCATTGGTGAGCCCCCCCCACACACTCTAAACCCTGATGGAAAGCCCACCTTCTCTCCAGGGTGTGGGAGGGCTTCATGAACGCTTTCAACACAGCCAATGCTTTTAAACTTGACGAGAACTGTTCTTGAGTTCCGGAATTGACCCGAAGGCGGGTGGGTGAAGGGTGAGTCCTCCGAATCTATGAACCCTCAACTGCGACAGGTGACAAGGCCAACCACAACGTCAGTTTCGGAACCGCAGTCTACCCATGAACATTTATCTCCCTCTATATTAAGCACACTCATTTCACAACCCAAAGAGAAAATAAGTGCATATAAATATATATATATATATATATGGGGATACAGATATATGTGTGTGTGAAAACACGCACGCGCACGCACGCACACACGCACACACGCACACACGCACGCACGCACGCACCCAGGCACACAGGCACACAGGCACACACGCACACACGCACACACGCACACACGTACACACGCACACACGCACACACGCACGCACGCACGCACGCACACACGCACACACGCACACACGCACACACGCACCCACGCACGCACGCACGCACGCACGCACGCACGCACGCGCACGCGCACGCACCACGCACCGCACGACGCACTCGCACGCACGCACGCCACGCACACGCACGCACGCACGCACGCACACAGCACGCACGCACGCACGCACGCAGGCACGCAGACACGCAGACACGCAGCACACACGCAGGACACGCACATATGTATATATATATATACACATACACACACACACACACACCACACACACACACACACACACACACACACATATATGTATATATATACACACACACACGCGCACGCACACACACACACACACACACACACACACACACACACACACACACACACACACACACACACACACACACACACACACACACACACACACACACACACACACCACACACACACACACACACACACACACACACACACACACACACACACACACACACACACACACACACACACACACACACACACACACACACACACACACACACACACACACACACACACACACACACACACACACACGCACATTTTAAACTTATATTGCCCAGCCTGAGAGCTCATCCAGCCTAATCTCGCCGGCCTCCTCAACTTTGTAAGTGCCTCAGATGCAGCTGTACAGAACCCTAAACCCTGTACCGCTGCATACGATGGTCTTTGCTTGCTTTAAGCCCGCAAGGCCCTGCTAGTAGCATATGCATGTGAGTAGCAATCGCTTTCGCCGGTGACCTGCTTAGACAAACGCATGCATGCACACAGGCGTCTGAGCGTTCTGCATCCATGAGAGTTAGCTTGCTGGATCACAAGATAACATGCACTGCAGGCACCACACATCCAAGGTGATCTTCCCCAACTCGCGGGCATGTTTTCTCAGCAGGCAGCTTCGCTTTGAAAGGTCTCCGGACTATGCTTTTCTCTCTATCACTCCACCTACCGGCCAACGCGCCCTAGCCTGGAATCCGTCTGAGGGTTCGCGGTGAGCTGCTGCAGCTCGTTGATGACCGTGTTGATGTTCACCTGCAGCTGGGAGAGCTCCAAGCCATGGAGCAAGCGGAGGACCGCAACGGCTTTCTTCACCTCCGGATCGCGGACCTCCACTCCCAGCGGCAACTTCTGCAGGTCCAGCGTCGGCTCCTCTGCAGACGTCGGAGCTGCCCTCACCAAGATGCATCGCAAGGCCGCCACGATGTCTGTGTCCGCGGCATCCTCAGGCAAGATTGGGAGATTGAAGCAGGCCATGATGCGGTTCAGGCCCGGAAGGAGCTGTCCAAGCCTCTGTTTGGGGCCGAGGGCTTCCTGCTTCTGAGGTACGGCGTTTGCAAGTTCGTTTGCTTCCTCCTGGTCCCGATAGATGTCGTGGATGGCCAGGTTTGTGAGGCCGTTCAACACACTCAGCTTCACTTTCAGGTCCTTCTCACTCAGCCCCTCTGCAGGTACACCCAGCTCCTTCGCATACTTTGCCACTGCTTCGAACCAGGCCTTGTCGAACTTGCGCAGTGGAGCTCGATCGATCTTCTCGTACAGCCGGATCTTTTCCTCCTCAAGCCAAAGGATGATTTTCATGTATGCTTGACCGCTGAGGCAAGCGGCAGCGAGCTCAGGGTAGTTCAAGGCCTGGAGCTTTCGCTTGAGCCCCCCTGGCAGGTCGTCGCCTGCTGCACGGTCCGCCGCCGGAGCTGCAGCTGCTGGGGCTCCGCCTTTGCCGCCTCCTTTGCCCTGATAGAACCCACCCATCGTGGATGAGGACACGAACCCACCGTCTGGCTACTGTAGCTTTTCTATCCCATGTATGCCTCCATTTCTTGAGCCATAGGGTCGTGCGCGTAAGATTTGAGACGCTGCATGAGGTCTTTTGTGGTCACAGTGTAAGACACGAGAAGGTCTCAAGCATCCGTCAACACATCAACACAGCCACAGCATTGCTGTCTGGATCCCGCGGGCAAGCGTTGCATGTATGTGGCACTCCCTCTCCCACTATTATTGTATTACTACTACAAATATCTTCTTCTTGTATGCTTTTGCTGGCATGCTTCATCATTGTTAGTATTAAAAGTCATTATATATTCTTCCATTCTTCCACAGCTTTGTACCCTCCCAAAACCAGCCAGGCCTCGCTTCCCTTGCACTGGCCGCCCGGCTCCCTCTTCTCACACTCCGCTGTCTTCTGGAAGTAGAACTTGCTAGGGCACGTCCTTCCACCAACTCGCTGAAAGGAGCTCTTAGGGGGGTTTTAGGGGACCTTCTGGCGTCCTTATAGGAACTCTCGGCCCAATATCTTTGCTGGTGCAGATTTCAGATTTCGAGGAGATGATCCGTCTGAGGGGGGGTGGGGGGCTCTGAAAGCAGCTCCATTTGGAGCACCCGGAGCCTCCAATCCTCCCCCCCGAAGAAACCTTTCAAGCACACCTGAAACCCCAAACCCTAAACCCGAAACCCTAAACCCTAGGCAGGTGGCAAAAACCCTACCCCAAACCCTTTGTCCCAAACTTGCGGTCCCTGGAAGTGAGAACCACGCAGCTTCACCCGGCAGCGCCACTCGGCCGACATCGTTCTTCCTGGTCAGCGGTGCTTTCGAGACACGGGTGGTTTAGGGTTTAGGGTTTAGGGCTTAGGGCTTAGGGCTTAGGGCTTAGGGCTTAGGGCTTAGGGTTTAGGGTTTAGGGTTTAGGGTTTAGGGTTTAGGGTTTAGGGTTTAGGGTTTAGGGTTTAGGGTTTAGGGTAGTTCTCTAAATCAGGTCCCTTTTGGGGAGTCCTATTTATGAGGGTGTCGTACTTATTGACCGGACCCACCACAAGAACCTAATTTAGAGAACTGCCCATATAGGGCTCACCTCAAGCTAGGGTTTTTGGCTAAGGCTCCCTAAACCAAAAAGCCTGAAGCCTAAACCCCAAACCCTAAACCCTAAACTTTCCATTGGGCTTAGGCACCTTCAAGTAAAACTCAAAAAAGCTGGTCACATGATGCCGCATAATGCCTCTGGATCTTGCCCTCGCTTCTCATGCTGACCACCACGTCGCGATGGAGTGGAGCGCGCATAAGCTCACCCTAAACCCTAAACCCTAAACCCTAAGCCCTAAGCCCTAAACCCTTCACCCTAAAACAAACACGGACCACGAGTAAACCAATCGATTGGTCTCATATACCTGACCATACCTTAAACCCTAAACCCTTTTTGCATCCAGGTCTCTTGCAGCCAGCCGGGTTAGAGTTAAGTCTGAGGGCGAATAAGAAAATCTCACGAAATGTGGTGCCATGCGATTTTCACAAAGCCCTAAACCCTAAACCCTAAACCCGAAACCCTAAACCCTAAACCCTTTTGCATCCGGGCTTGGGGAGTCGGCCGGGAGTAAAGGCAAGGGAAGCATGTTCCACACACTTCCTTTTTAGCAGCATGCTTAGCACCACTGCAGGTCTCTGCCTCTATACTGCTATGCAACCAGCAACCAACTAACCACCATCATCAGTTGACTGTAGGCGACGCGCTCTTTCAGCACGCCGCCTCTGCTTCAAAGCTAGTCTTTCAATCCTAAGCATTGTTTCTCCAAGTGCGCATGCGGGTGAAAGTCTTCCTGATGCTCAACATCCCTAGCACACTTCGCGAAAGGAGGCGCAGCATCTGTGGTTTGCGCGTTTGTTGATGGTGCCGACATCACATCAACGAGTGAAGAGCAAGAAGAGGCTTTCAAGATGTCGCGCGGCTTTGTATCCTGCGACAGGTCTTCCACTCGAGCCAGGCGGTCATGCAAAGCACTGAAAGGTTCCATCTGCACCGACACCTGCTGCAGGACGCTCTGGACAAGTTCCTCGCATTCACCCCTGCTGACTGCCTCAACGTCTGTTTGCGTATGGACTTCTCGTCTCACCGTGGAAGAGTTGACTGTGGCACCACAGCCATGCCCTGTACATCCAGGATCAAACAGCAATGATTCAGCGAGGAGTATAGTGACCCTTTAACTTTTGTTTCCGCTGTCAGACGAACGAACCGAGTCTTCCTGCGTCAAGTCTGCTGCGAGACTATGCAAGGCAGCCTGAAGATGAAAGCAAACATCTGATGAGAGCTTGAATCTCTTGGCCCATCTCACAGCGAAGCCAATGCAGGGCACAATATTCAATGCGTGCAACAACATGCAATGTCTGTTTGGGGCCTCGTAGCCAAGAAGCTTGAGCCAGAAACCCTTGAGCCGTAGCCACCCCTAAAACCCTAAACCCTAAACCCTTTGCATGTAGACGGCACTTCGCGCCGAGCATCGTGCAGCCGATCACGTAGCCGAGGGGAAGCCAGTGGAGCATGGGGCAGCCGGGCCTCCGATGGGTGCAGTCTGGGTTTAGGGTTTGGGGTTTGGGTTTTTTTTCCCTCCTGCGCAGCTGGGGCGAATCCGGGTTTGGGATTTAGAGTTTAGGGTTTAAGGTTTAGGGGTTTCAGGGGATTAGCGTTTAGTGGTTTAGGGTTTCGACTCTCAAGCAGGCAAGGATTCGGTTAGGGTTTAGAGGTTTAGGGCTGGGGAAGTATACAGGATAAATATAGTAAATATTCACATACATACATACATACATACATACATGCATACATACATACATACATGCATACGTGCATACGTGCATACATGCATACCTCGACATACACGTATATATCTATCTATTTACACATATGTTTAGTTATTTACCATTTGTGCTTTACTTTGTTTCTGCCAAAATCGGGGGCAGCCTCCGCGTTCCGAGGCCCCGGCACAGTGCACTTGGCCTTGTCGAAGGCAACGAAGGCGTCGAAGTTCTTGTTCTGGCCCCACAACTCCTGCACTTCCGGAGCTAGGCACCTTGTGTATCCCTCGATCTTCATTCATATATACATATGGTTTTTGGTGTACAGATAGTGAAAACCGTGACAGGGAATATATATATATATATATATATGCATATATGTATATGTGCATACACATCCCCCTATATTATATTCGCTTTAAGGGGTTAAAAAGGAAATTACCCTAATCCTACTAAGAACCAGCAAGTTTTCTTTCTATATAATTTTTTTCATCCTTCCGCGGAACCCTTCCGCTAGTTTTGGCTCATCTGCGCTTCCGCGCGCGCTTCCGCGAGTTCGTTTCGTGAGGTTTCGCGAGCTTGCTTCGGCAAGTTCGCGAACCCGAACCCCCTGAACCCCAAAACCACGCGTCGGCGGTCCAAAGCGGCCTCGACGAAACATTACTGCGGGCTTGCGGCTTGGGGATTTCACACTGTGGAAGAATTTGAAGACAAGAACTTGGCCTGGAAAAGCAGCATGGTGCTATGTTTCTGCACGCGTCCTGCGGTGGACTTTCTGGCATGTTGATTGAGCTTGCAATAGGCTGACGTGACGTCCTGCCCCGATATCGACACACAGGCTTCTCCAGCCTCCCTGCAGCTGCCTCTTTCTGCCGAGCTCTCGTCAAACTCAGATTCAGGGTTTCTGTCTTCTTTGTCTTAACCCCCCCCCCCCCCCACTCCAGTAAGAGTCATGTTGCTCAATTGAGCACAGCTTTTGGCGATGATACCAAATGCAGGCAGAATGCAAAGTCCCAAATCATGTACACGAATTCCCACTCACACTGTGTGTGGGTCTGCTAACTGCCGCTAACCCACCAGCCCTCAAACCAAAGGAGTCCTTGGTGGCACGGTAGGTGACCTTGAAGCGTGTCAGCCGCGTCATGTTGAACTTCCTGCAGGCCGATGTGGCTGACCGAGTGACTGGGCCTGCAAGGTCTTCCTGCTGCAACCATTGGAACATTCCTATGGGGCCCTTTTGGGTTTTACTGTTAGCTAAGCACCTCCGGGCCCCCACATACAGCGCAAATTACCACTTCTGAGCAGAAAAACAGTCAGGCTTTGGCCCATTTGAAATGCTGCTGTCATCCAGTTGGTCCTGGGGCAGTTGAAAACAACTTCGTTGTGAAGATACCTGGTCAGTTCCAAACCGCGGCCAGCTGCATCACAAAGGTGCAATCGCGTTGAGGGTGTAGGGTTTTCCGAAGTATCTGACACCCTGGCCTGGACTAGCAACGATCTCCGTACAGTTTCCGAGTAAAGTAGCTGCTCGTTTGCACAGAGACAGCATATTCCATCTAAGTTGCCAGATATCGCCCAGCAAGTTTGCCATGTTCACGCCGTTCAGCTTGTACCTGGCGAATCTAACGAGCCAGAGGCAAGTTTCAGGTCAGTCGGGCTTGGAGGGCATGCTGTCTCGGATATTTCACTTACCCCAACGAAAAAAAAACACCCTAAACCCTAAACCCTAAACCCTAAATCCTAAACCCTAAACCCTAAACCCTAAACTCATGACCAAGAACATCCTGTCACTTGATTCCTAGGATGGCCCCCAAAACCCTCTGAAAAATACTCGATGACCCTCTTAAACCCAATAAAGGAAAAGTCTAACATGTCCCAAGGGCCTAGCGAGATTAAGAGATCCGGGGCTTGCATGGTCCCAACACTTGGCCTCTGGTCGTTGTCCACGCGGTAGAGATAGAAGGTCATCAGCTTGCCTCAAACAGTCAGTATAGACAAGCATCATGCCGTGCACAGCTGCCCGGGACCCAAAGCCCGTGTTCTGAGTCGCAACAACAAGCCTCGTTTCGTCGTCGCATGTGATCACACTCTCTCGCCCCAGTCCCGTGCACACTCCCCGTCGATTTCCCACTTCCTCAGTCCAGTGACCAGTGCGCTTGCTCCTCATGAAGTGTAGAACTGCCGTTGCTTTTCCGTACAAATCGTGCTACCGACGGACGGAGAAGTGATTGAAAGATGCATACCGTCGACTGAGACTCCGGCGCGCGCTTCATGGTCTTACGCTGTTTGGGATCTTAAGGCCTCAACCCTACACCCTAGACCCTAAACTCTAAACCCTAAAACCCTGAAACCCTAAAACCCTAAACCCCTAAAACCCTAAACCCTGAAACCCCAAACCCTATCACGACTGTTACTGTTCTTCGCCTCGGCCCCTGCCGAGATCGGTCAGAGGCTTCCCGTGTCCCCATTGATGTTCGAGGGCAGGCCTCTGGTGCTACAATACAAGTTTCCCAGTACCCATTTTGCTGATTAATTACGATAATTATTGGGTTTTGCCTACTATCATTATTGATGCTGCCGGCACTGAGTTGGCAAAACTCTTCCCACCTTGCGCTCTGTAACTAGCACTGCTCGTGCAGCTAGTACCAAAACTGATGACTCTGACTACCTTCCTGCTCTCAGCACCACCCTTCTGACTGTTCTTACTCAAAAAACCGCTCTTCTTTACTCTGATTCTAGTACTCGGGTTTAGGGTTTAGGGTTTAGGGTTTAGGGTTTAGGGTTTAGGGTTTAGGGTTTAGGGTTTAGGGCTTCGGGGGCTCTCAACGCCCCACCTGGCGTCTCCGCCGGCGGCAGCAGCTCCGGCCCCGGCGCCATGGCGCCAAGCATGTCCGCCTTCTCCTCGGAGCATATTTCTCTTCCAACCCTGAACCCCCATTGTCCAAAATGATGATTATAAGTATAAACAGATAAGGAGGTGTGTATACATGTGTATATATATATATATACATATGCTGTTAGTTGTGGTGTTGGCACCATCTACAACGGACCGCAGGGGCACCCCTTCTATGCTCCGTATATAGTACCATCAGCACCGTACAATCCTTAGCAGCGGCACGCCCACAAGGCCACCCTAAGTTTGGGAACCCCCATACTAAAGGCATAGGAATTGCAGGGTCTCAGACTTCGGGCGTGGAGTTTAGAGAAATTTTCCACCCGCCTAGCGAAGTTCCACAGGAGAACTTAGGCAATTTGAGAGTTTTTAGGGTTTTGCCATTGCCAAGTAGACCAGCCGCGCTGCCAGGCAACAATTTCCGCAAACTGTACCAAGAGATTCCCGTCCGACAGATGACAAAATGGTTCTGGGTTCACAAACAACAAAACGTGTAGGCATCGCCCAAAGACGCACAAGCGCGGAGCAGCGTGCTGCCCTTCACTGGGCACGCCGGGGCTTTGCAGTGTGCTCGCTACATTGCTAGCCTGCCAATCACGTCGTAGTACGCACTGGATGAACTGGTCAAAGTAGGGTTTTCCGGGTTGGGGTTGGGATGCGGTATAAGGCATTATGGTGTTGGCTTCGGAGTGATGATCTCAGCTTTGCGAAAGAGACCAAAAAAACTCGTTGCGGACGGGCTATGCTCCTTGTCTGCTCCACTTCCGGGTCCACAACATCCACTTCACTCTCACCGCACAGTCGCCACGTTCGGCTTGAACAGGCAAACCGAAGCTAAGTCAAGGCATCCCAGCTGGAAGCCAAGCAGCAACTTCAGAGTCGCAGCAGCCTGCCGGACCATCGACTCTGACGCTCGCATGCGACAGGCAAGGCTTCCGGGTATAGAGTTTGTTTAGACATCAGGGTTTACGAGCTTATTTAGACATGTCTCCTGGGTTGCGATATTTCCAAGGTCAGTATGAAATCTGAGATCTTGCGTATAAGAGGGACCAAAAGCATCCGCCCTGCCCATGCAACTGCTTTGGCCTTGCATCAACTCCTGTTGGACATGGTTGAGAACCAAACTGGTACGAGGAGGACGCAAAACCTACTTTATCAAGTCCAAAGCAACATCTACATACTATTCATAGCGTTTTTAACATTACAATGAGTAATCTTATTGCCACTATTAATATTATTCAGATCACTAACATGACAAATATGATTAATGCTACTCATACTATTAATGCTGTGAATATGTTATATTCATCGTATTGCAATTACGAGTAGTATTCGCAAGATTAGCATTGCGACCCAAGCCCAGATGTGAGCCCAAAACTCGCCAAGCAAGCCCCCGAGAGAAGGGCCTAGGTTAGCACCGGCAGGATTCGGGCAGCAGAGGCCCTTCAAACCATTCTCCTGCAAGGCCAAATGCAGCATTCATTTCACAGCTTCTGCAAAGGACATAAAGGATCGAAATGAAACGAGAAGGCGGGAAGAGCTGAAGCAACAGAGGAGCAAGAGGCCCCTTTGATTCCACCCCAGAGTCAAGCCCGTGCTGTGGGAGCCTTGCTTGTCCAGGTTTCTGGGAACTACAGGTGAACTGAGACACGACACCACAACATGTTCCCATGCTCTGGAGACACATGGGATTGACAATGCCTAAGCCAAAGCACGCCATCTATCCTCTACCCTTGTCTCGGCCTACTGAGAACTGAGAACTATTTCTCATATCACCTTGCAGAGGTCAAGGTCTGCATGCAGCCGGCTCCTTGCAAAGCCCGTTGTTTTCGCACATCCTCGGCTCTAAGAGAGCAGCAGGCAAGACACACAAGTTCGTGACATGGGCTTTGAGCTGGTCCCGGGCATTGCGTACTTTGAGCAAATGGCGCCCCATGCGTGTCAGTAATGATACGTTCTTCTCTTGCTAGGTCTGCTGGTGCACTGGGTGCACTCGTGCTCATGTGTTGAACTTCCACACTGGCAGCTGGCAGCAACGGCCAAGTACCGGGATCGGATCACCCTAAACCCCTAACCCCTAACCCCTAACCCCTAAACCCTGAACCCTGAACCCTGAACCCTTTTTAACCCAGGACTGCTGAACCCTGAACCCTGAACCCTAAACCCTAAACCCTAAACCCTAAACCCTAAACCCTAAACCCTAAACCCTAAACCCTAAACCCTAAACCCTAAACCCTAAACCCTAAACCCTAAACCCTAGCCCTAAACCCTAAACCCTACCAAGCTTCCAGCGACCCTGGCTCCTTGAGATCAATGATGCCTTTTTTGTCCCGTGTGCAATCAACGACCCAACTTCCCTGCCTCTAAACCCTGTGGGCTGCCTCTGACCTGCGGGAGCACAAACAGCAGCCTACTAGTTGCTCAAGAGCCCCCCCAAAAAAAAAGTGAAAATATTATATGTATATAAATAAAAATATATATATATATATATGTACATATAAAATAAAATATATGATGTTCTTCCTAATTAGGGCAACATCTTTTTCTCGGGTTCTTAAGCAAGTTGTGGTAGCTTTGAGAGCAAGCATGCGGCCGAGGGGAGTCCGGTGAGACGCCCAGCACCGGTGCTGCTGGAAGAGAGGTGCCGCCTGACAACAGCATGGGTTTGAGGTCCTTATGATAAGGGAATCCTAGTGAAATTAGGGGTACCTTATTGGGGTCCTTATGATAAGGGAGTCCTACTATTTGGGGGCTTCATATTCGGGGCCCCCTATTTTCCCCACATGTCGCATCACTTCTGCCTGCACAACCCCAATGACCCGCCTCCCACCTGAACACCCTCGAAGCAAAAGACCACTTGAGCAGCCAACGCGGCGACAACAGACCTTGAGCAATTTTACCCCTCAGGGTATGAGTGCAGGGCCCATCTCCCAACATCTCCCAATATAGGTGCCTTAAGAATTAGAATAGGGATTTGAGGGGTACTTGTAGTATCATATACTACAGAAATACAGAAAGGGACGATGAGGGAATGCTACCAGAAATTGATGCGACCCCCAGAGTAGTCCGTGGCGCCTCCTGGGCAGCACCCGAGGCTGACGCCCGCATCGTTGGGGCAGCAGTTCCTTAGCTACTCCACTTGCCGGAAGCCCTGAAAAAAACATGTCCCCAAGGCTTAGGGTTGAGGGTATAAGGTTAGGGTTTAGGGTTTAGCGTTTCGCGTTTAGGGTTTAGGGTTTAGGGCACAACTTGGCATTCACAGAACCAAGGAAAAGCGACAAAGCATCTGCACAATCTTAATACCGACTTAGAATTAGAATGACCAATCACCAAACATCAATAACAGAATATCAAACGATTCAAAACAAGCACTGCCACTCGGAAACAGTTTAAACCAACAAACAACTATTAATTATTGTTATTTAAAACCAACAAACAACTATTAATCAGCCCAAATCCCGAAACCCTAAACTGCCCGGGCTCGGGACCCATGGAGCCAAGCAGCCCTTGCAGCTTCAGCTTGGCGCACTCCTGAGCCATGGTTTTTGTTTGCATTTAGGGTTTAGGGTTTAGGGCTTAGGGTTTAGGGCTTAGGGCTTAGGGCTTAGGGTTGAGGGCTTAGGGTTGAGGGCTGAGGGTTCAGGGTTCAGGGTTTAGGGCTTAGGGCTTATTGTTTTTTGCCACCCGTCTAGCAATGCTCCACGGGGCAACTGAAGAGGGGATGCTGTGCACAAACTCCAGAGCCCAAATTGACGAAATTACTAGGTTCCACACCAACCCGAGACCTCCTACACAGCCCGCCTTGGGAAACAAAACCAACCAACGCACCCACACGATCAGGGGGGGCTCATGGTTGGTGTGTCGTGTTGTACCCGAAACACTTCCAGCAGACCTGGCACCCATCTGTCCAATCAGCGCCTCGGCCTTTACCAGAAGTGCCCCGGAAAGAGGAAGAAGTCCCTAAATCCATGCCAGGGGGGGGATAAAGACAGCAACAGGCAATGGTACACACCAAGCCTACCATACACATGAGGACTGTCCCCTCCCCGGCATCCTACCAGCAGAACGTTCAAGTGGCCGGCCCGTAGACCTTACCACACACACCGGTTGTACTACGACTGTGGATGCCCAAGGGTACACCACACTAAAGTGCTCTATACTCAGTACAAAGACGCAGCCGGCATGTTGTTAGCTAGTGCCCTGACCTTGCAAAAAAAGGATACAAGCCCGTCGAGGCAATGCATAGGCTCACAAATTCAAAGTAGAGTGCACGCCCATGTCATCGGGGGGGGGCGAGAGAGAGAGGGGATTGAGGGCTTATTGTTTAGGGTTTAGGGTTTAGGGATTTTTTGCCACCCGCACTGCACACACCAATCACGGCATCCGCTCCACACGGACTATTCGAGGGTATGGGGCTGTTTCAGGCTGAGGCTCAGAGGCTCAACAGGGGAAAGACCTCCGTCACAACCAACACCGCAGACGGCTCATTGGAGGGCTTCGGGCTTAGGGATTAGGGGGAGAAACAGCCGAAAATCCGCGCAGGGAGAAGCCAAACAACCCTGAAACTCCCCGATTTAGATGAAGGGGCCAGGACGGCTTGCAGAGGTTTGGGGGGCCAGGAGGGCCCAAGGACGTTTTGGCCGTCAAGATTGGGAAAGGCTGAAGCTTCCAATGGGGGAGTTGCTGAATACCTGTTGAATCCTGGACTCGGACCTCCCCTGAGCCCGAAACCACTTACGCCTTTGCAGACGTGATGGTTTCCTGATGGTTTCGGGACTCCTACTATTTGGGGTCTATTTTCGGGGTCCCCTGTTTTCGAAAATCCCCATGTTGAGCCCAGTCTCAGGGGCAGCGGAGCAGCTGGGATCGGCAGCGGCCAGGCGCGCCTGGTGTAATCGTGCGACAGCTGGAAACCGCGGACGGCCACCGAGGCGCCAGCCAGGAAACGGAGCCCGAATCCTTCTGCTGGATCGATAGAAACGTG